GTGTCTGTAATGAGGGGTATGTCTGTAATGTTCTCTTTCCCGTTGCTATGTGTCTGTAATGGGGTGGGGGGGAGCCGCCAACCTCGAACTAAAAACTTACACTCACTATTTTCTTCGAAAACATACGTGAGTTCCACAAAATTCCAAAGAGTTATACATAGAAAACATTGTACTATTAAAATTTCTCTGCAATAAAATTTTGTATATTTAAAAAAAACTTCTTGAAGAAATTAAAATGAAATTTACTGAGGAATTCCTTGATTCATTGTAAATAAATATAATTCTCCTGTATCATTTATTGTGCAGTTCAACTAATTTTTCCTTTTGTCTGTGATTGATTGTCTTTCACATACTTTTTTTCAATGTATATCTATATGTTACTCATTTTATTTTTAATAACAATATTCGTCTTTTTTTCTCATGTAACTGACTTTTCGTTTTAATGGATTTTTTGAAATATTTAACCTTCCAGTTATATAGATTTTCTTTTAGTTAACGTCAAATTTTTTCCGAATTATGATGAAATACATTCTATTCACAATAAGCAAAGAAGAATAAAAATAAATAAATTCATGCAAGAATCCTATCAAAAATGTACATCGCCTCGAGGGTGTGGATGGGTGTGGATGCGGCGGCGGCGGTGGATCTGGGTGTGGAGTGTGTGTGTGGCGGCAGATCTGGGTGTGGGTGGGTGTGTGGGTATGGCAGGTGTGTGGGTATGACAGGTGTGTGGGTATGACAGGTGTGTGGGTATGAGAGGTGTGTGGGTATGAGAGGTGTGTGCCTAGTGAAAAATATTCAGTGATTTCAATCGGATTTTTCTACAGCAAAATCAAAATTAAAATCGATTGATAATTTTGATTATCGTTAATCATGACTTAACTATTACTTGATATTGTCACTTACCCAGTATGAAATTTTCTGATTGAAATCGGATTATTCTGCAGCGAAATCAAGATTATAAATCGATTAATAATTTCGATTTTGTTGTAAGATAATCCGATTTTAATCAGAAAATTTCATACTGGATAAGTAATAATATCAACTAATAGTTAAGTCATGATCAACGATAATCAAAATTATCACTCGATTTTAATTTTGATTTTGATGCAGAAAAATCCGATTGAAATCACTGAGTTTTTCACTGCGTGGTATGAGTGGGCAAGTGAGGGTGTAGATATCAACGTTGAGATCAATAGGCACCACACTCACACCCACTCTCAAGAAAAAGTCCTGCTTATTATTTGAATAAAATAGTCGATTTACGATTTCGACAATGGTCACATTGATACCTTTCAGGTCATTATTGATGTTTGCATTTCGCTTTGAATATATTTCTACTAGAAAAAGAAGTGTAATGATGAAAGTGGTGAGGATGCAAATAAGGATTCAAACGAAATGTCACATTAGACGTGAGCAAATTATATGTAGACCGTGGAAGTGGATCAACCGAATAGGAAATTAGGTAAAAGAAGTTAACGTTATCATTCAGTTATTTAAGGCTCCTCTCAAAAACGTTTACTCTTCGTCAGAATGGTGGACATTAAGATAGATGTATAGAAAGATAGACCGTAGTTTCATCTTTCCTAAATGACAGCAAGGGTGCGGGTGCCGGTGTGGGTTGGGTGTGGGTGTAGGTGTGGGTGTGGGTTTGGGTGTGGATGTGGGTGTCGGATTGGTTTTAATTCAGAAAATGATCTAAACCCACACCCACCCACGCTCACGCTCACACCCACACCCATCCACCCACACCCACACCGACACCCACACTCACCCATACCCACATCCACACACCCACACCTCACACCCACACCTCACACCCACACCCCACACCCACACCCCACACCCACACGCACGCCCACACTCACAACACACCCACGCACACCCACACCCACACCAACATCCACACATGCACTCACACCCACACCCAACCCACACCACCCACACCCACACCCATCCTAGTCAATCTTTGAGTTATGTTCAAAACTTAATTTTGCGAGGATAAATGTATGTAATAAGCAAGAATTCTGCTTGCTAAACAAAGTTTCAAGCAAGGTTTTGATTTTGGAAGCAGAGATGAGGTTATGTAATACATAAGATGAGCGTATTATGATGGTTGAATGATTTATTAATATTCTTGAATTCGGCTTGTGGTGGATTCTATCACTGCTGATGTTTAATTACCCAAGCGTATTTAAACAGTTTAAAGATTGTGCATCATGAATCTAATGCCTTCTTTGACCGCAACTATTTCAGGATGATCTGAAGAATTAAAATTACGTTCCAATATACTTAATGCTTTATAAAAACAATCCAATGCAGCAGGAACATTTTCCGCACCCACAAACGTGGCTCCCAGTCGTTTATATGTATCGACAAAAGTAAGATCATATGATGGAATATAAGATAGCTGAATATACAATAATCTTTCGTATCCTTCGATCGCTAAACTGTAGTTTCCGATGTTAGCATATAATGCGCTGATTCGCCATAAGGTTTCTTCAACTTCAGAATGATATGTATTCAATGGGAACTTCTCATATACTTCTAAAGCGTGGTTATAATTACTTAATGCTTCACTAAATTCTTCTTTTATATCATGTAAATCAGCTATACATTTAAATGTTCTGGCGACGTCAATTGAATGCGGAACACAATATGATTGTATCTCTAATGCTTTTTTATAGTTGTCTAAAGCCAAACCATAATCCTTTTTACATTGAAGTAATTCTCCTAGAAAAGTAAGCATTAATGTTCTATCCGGATGTTTTTCTGGCAAGACCCCATTCTGAATCTTCATTGCTTCGTTGTAATAATGTAAAGCTGAATCATAATCCTTTTTTTGAAAATAATCTTGTCCTATATTGGCATAAAGACCTGCCATATTTCGTGGATCTATTGCGATAGTTCCCATTATATTCAATGATTGTTTATGATATTGGAGTCTTTGTTCGGGATCCATTGTAGAACAGCCTAAGCCATTATATAAACCAGCAAGCAACCGTTTATTCGGTGATGAATTTTGTGATTCTAGATCCAGACCTTTCTGGAAGTATAAATAAGCGTGCTGGAAAGCATAAGTTTTGAGGAAAATATGTCCCAAATTACAATAACATAATGATAGTTCTTCGTGACTTTCTGGAAGTAAATTAAATAAGCGCTTGTAGTATCGTGTAGCTTTGTCATATTGTCCCATATTAGCGAAAATGTTTCCAAGTTCACCGATATTAGTCTCTTCTGGTATCTGCTTTTTCATGGTTTCAAAGATTTCTTTCAATTCGTTATCTTGGTCGCCTGATAAAACCATTTTGATTATCCATAGTTTTTCATTTTCATGTCTTGAAATATCCAAAATTTTAAAAATAGTTCCAAGCATGAATAAAACTTCCTCTTCCATCTTGTACTGACTCAAATGAGACACGCTTGCAAAAGGCTGCGCTCCCTTTAGACGTGTATCAGCTTCAATTTCAAATAGAACTAAAGTTTTCGTACTGTCTTGATTATACGCATTAGCATAGGAAATAGCTTGACGTCGACTAAGAGAAGTGGAAAGAAGTTTATTGAAGGCGACAAATTTGGTTTCATTTGTTCTAAAACTTTCCAATTCGTCGAGAGTCATCGATTGGCCACGATAGACTGTGATAACTGCATTCTTCTGAATTATTTTCTGCTCCTGAGCCAGCTGCTCATGTAAGTCACGAATGAGAAAGCGAAATAGAATCAAAATTTCAAAATCTTGTCGTTTCAAGGCTCTATTTAAAATACGATAGATGAACGTTTCGCCCGTATACCACCATACGGCATCTAACGATGTGTAATTCTCCTCTAATTGTTTAAGAGTATTTTCTGCTGGACCATTACCAGCGTAGTGTCTTTTACAGACAAGAACCAAATCTTCAATACTCTTTCGTAGATTATCTTCTTTCATTTTCATAAGCACTTCAATAGCCAGCTGAAACCACATAAACTTACTGTTTTCGTCACTTAGATTCAAATGAGTTTTTTTCTGACTGTTTTAACATGGTAACTGATAATGCTTCCTTCTCAGCCTTATTCAATTTAACCTGACTTTGTGTAATTTGCTCAATTAAATCAGATGGGCTGTCCAGAACTGCTTTGATCTATAAGGAAACAAAAGTTAGTATTTACTGTCATGTGTATGGTGCATTAAAATTACCTTTTCGTATTGTTCAGGCCAATTTTCGTGTTTAGATTTCGTATAGCAGAAAATATAAATCGATATGATATATGTTAACATATGTATTTGTGGTATTAATTCTCTTCCTAATTCACCAGAGATAATTAGAATAAATTGTCTATCAGTATGTTCTTGAATATAACTGTAGCATTCTTCACTCGTTTGGAACGTCGCTAAGAAATTAATAACCTCACGTAGTTTAATCTGTGTTTGTCGACTATCTTCTCGTGAATTCATGTTTTGGTCACACCATAGTAAACCATAGGATTCAAGATTTGTTTTCTGTGATTCTATAACGCAGAAATAATCAACTTCTTACAGAAATACTGATAATTGTTTTTTTTCGAAGACTATAGCAAGACATACTTTTTCTAGCTAATTCGAATGCATCGTCACTATAAGGAAATATTCGAATGGGTACTGATGGATCAAGTGCAGACTCGCCGAAAACTCCTGGCGCAAAGCTATCAAGTGCTTCATGGAATGTATTTCGAGTGCCTCCGTCTTCTTTGAAGTTCTCCACAGCTTGAAATAAAGCACGTATGTTCGATTTCTCTCGATGTTGTTTCAGATGTTCAGCTATTGCCTTCGATTGAGCATCCATATGTGTGTTTCTCTCATTCCGCACTTCAGTCAAGAGCCGGCCTTGAACATTAATTGGATTCAACATATTTGTTTTGCTAAGCGTTCTTGAATTGAGGTTCGATACGTGCTCAACATCTATAAACAAGTTAATTAATAGAACGATTATAACATCTCTTTGGCGGACATCATCTATCTGAAATGCATAAAGTTGGATTTACGTCGGATATTTGCTGGCGATCCTTTTTTAAGTTAAAGTAAGGCTAAATCTTTGCCGTAGTTTTCCAAGATGAGTATAATGCCGAATTCCAATGCTGTTCGTTTTCATCTCAGAGTGCTTAATAAGTTCATATTTCGTCAGTCTTTTAGCAAATATTAACACTCCGTATCACTAGTTTTCGTACGCACTGTCACAACAATCAAATTCGCAATAATCGGAACCGGGAGAAACTGTAAATTTTCTAATTGTTGAACAATACATGTAAATTTCACGAAAGCTATATTTTTTAGTCTTGCTTCTTGGTCTTTAGTGTAAGCGACTTATATACAGCATTTTAGGTTTTTATATACGTAAATTATGTTTTATCATAGTTAAATATTGTTTCGGGTATATGGGGCGTCCGAAAAGTCATTAGTGTTAGGAAAATTTGAATATCCTCGTCTTTATTCAACTAAATGAGCTAATTTTTTTTCTGAGGGTAGAGGACAGATAGAAATTTTTATTCATGAAGAAACAGTCCATTTATGGTCATGAAACTAACATACTTTTCTTCGCTATATAAGTAAACTACGCACAAACGTTTGTTGCTCATAGCTATAGTCCGATACTGTAGGATATGCTTTTATTTCTTTAACGAGAAATATAGCTGATATATAGGGTGTCCTGTAAGTCATTAGCCATAGAAAACATTAATTATCTTTATTATGATTCGACCAAGCGAGTACATTTTTTTTTACAAAGAATAGAGGTATGTTCACATTTCAAATTCATACGAACAACAGTATTGCGAATCTTTGTTAAACATCACTATTGACCTGAACAAGAGAATTCTACTTTTTCGCAGATAGGAAAAAAAACAATATACTTAACAAAAGTTCTCACTTACCTTGTCAGTATGGATTTAGAGTATGAATATGCCTCTATCCTTGGTAAAAATATCAGCTGGTTTACTTGAGTCTCAATAGAGACATTCAATTTTCTTTTCAATACAGTATATTTTGTTCTATCCTGTTCATTGCTTTTTTTCCCATTTGTGAACCAGTAAAATTTTCATGTTGAGATCAATAGTGATGCTTAACAATGATTCCCAATACTCTTGTCCGTTTATTTTTCGATTGTGAATATGCCTCTATCTTTGGCAAAAACATGTGCCTGTTCGCTCGAACCATAATGAAGATATTTAATCTTCTCTTTGGCTAAGGACTTATAGGACACCCTATATAATACTAGTTTGAAAGAAATTATCCTTCATTATCCACACAATCATGAAAGCGTTGCAAAACAGAGCGACATGCTTTGCGGGCACATTTCTTCTGGTATCTATTCACAAGCTTGTTCAATCCTTTCTTGAAGTTATGTAATGGTAGCCGGCAGCCATTTAAACATGATGTTCTTTAAATATCCCCAGAGAAAGAAGTCACACGGAGCTAAATCTGGTGAACGAGCTGACTAGTCATGTGAACCACGTCTGCATATTCACTGGTCTGGGAATTTTTTGTCAAGCCATTTTCGAACGATAGCAGCATAATGAGGTCCTGCCCCCTCATGTTGGAAGTAAAATTTTTTGCGGTTCAACTGAGGCCATGCGTAATTAACTAGCATTTATTGGTACAATGGGCCAGTGACAGTATCGTTGAAAAAATACGGATTAACAAGCCCATTAGAACTTATTCCGCACCAGACCGTGATCCCTTGTTGTCTATTGGGTGCTTCAAATTTTAAGTGCGGATTCTTCCGGGCCCAGTACGTGTAATTATGTCGATTAACTGCGGTATTCATATTAAATTTGACTTCGTTGCTCCAGAATATGCGATCGATTAGATCGGGATCATTCTCGAATGTTTCGATCCATAATTTGCAAAACTCACTGCAACACTCGAAATCATCTTCGTTAAGCTCTACTATTAAGGTTGGACGATAGGGTTTAAAGTGAAGTTGCTTCATAGCTACTGTCCGTTTCAAAATATAGTGCGCGGCACTGTTGTTTAAATAACTCGAGAACGCAACGAGCTAGGAACCTGCGATTTTCACTAATCGATAGATGAGACAGGGGGATGTTTTTTTCTCAGATAATGTATCAGACGAAATCCTTTTAAAACTAGTTATCTCTAAAGAACATGGAAAAGAGTGCATGAAAATGACCTGCCATCCATATGAAATTTTGATTTTGACCTTTGATTTAGATAGAGGAACTTGAGATCTATAGTTTAAGATACAATGCACTTTCTTACTTTTCCTTACATTTTCATCGAAATGCCCAGCTATTATGATAAAAATGCAAAAACATAGTAAAATAAATGCGAAAACATCGGATTTAAATCCGAGTGTTATGTGTACTTCAAAAAGTGAACAGGTATATTCACTTTGTTTTTTATCATCTGAGACAATATCTAGACTATTTGCTTTCTCAAC